GGCCTCCAGGAGCATGAGAAAATACATTTCTGTTGGTTGAGCCACCCAATCCGTGGTAATTTGTTATGGCAGCCTAAGGCAACTGAGAAGATGGGGGACAGGGGGGACAATTTAGGCATGTCTGCAAGGGCGAGATGTTGGTCAGAGGGAGTTCATTCTGTCTCAGGAAACAGGAGGCAAGCCTGTCTGTTGAAAATGAAAGAGGTGGTACCTCTCATGTCTAGAACATGAGCCAACCCATGGACACTGGGGAGAGCTCACGGGGGAGCGACCAGTGTTGGACACGTGGGGATTCTGGAGAAGACTGGAAAGCTTGGGAACCCTGGCAGCACAGTGGGCTGGGACAGCGGGACACGGCCAAGCCCCCTGGAATGGGTCAGTCACGGAATGTTGAGGCTGGGTGGGCCCCAAGATATTATTATTTTCTGGAGTCCACATGAATGCAGAGCAGCCCTCTGTGTATAATGTAAGCAAGTAGATAGAATCTGAGTGTTGTGGGTTTTACCTTGGGCTGCAGGCTGTCCCAACGGCCCTGTGAAGGTCAGCAGTGGGAAGCCTCAGCTTGCTAAGGGCAGGGAAGCAAGGAGCAAATAGGGACACTGGGGGGGGGGGGGGCCGCCATTGTGGTGCGGGAGCTCTCACGCTGGTTATGAAATCTGGGCTTTCAGCTAGGGGTGCCAGGAAGAGAGCTGAGCCCTCCCGCGGCATTGGGGGGATGTCTTAGGGCAGGGGTAGTGGGGACAGGGTGCAGGGAGGTGGGCTCAATGGGAGCGCAGAAAGGAGATGTCAAAACCAAGGGAAGGAGCCTCCTAGAGGTGCCTGGAGGGCTCAGTTAAGCTTCAGACTTTTGGTTTCAGCTCCGGTCATGATCTCTAGGCTCAAGGTCAGCCTCAGGCTCGAGCTGGCAGTGGGGGGCCTGCTTGGGATTCTCTCTCTTTCTCTGCCCCTCTCCCACTCGTACATAATCTCTTGAAGGAGCCCCCTAAACAGTTTGAGAAGCGGACCTCCCGTTTGATTGATTTTGTGACCCCAAGCTCATCTCTGGCCCCTCAATAAAATGCTGTATGTAATTCAATATTTATTTTATATTTTATAACACGATTAGATTAAACTGTAATTAATGTCATTTTGAGGCTTGGGAAAGAGTTTTATGACAGCCCCTTAGGCACCAGGAACCAGTGCAGGCCTCGTTCTGGGCGCAGATGCATGTGCTGGTTAGGAATCCCTGGGCTGGGTCCTCCCACCGCATCTGGCTGGGCGACCCTGACAAGTGGCTTCAGCTCTTTCTAAGCCTCTGTTTCTTCCTCTGCACAATGAAGGTCATGATTATTATTTTTTTTAAGTTTATTTATTTTGAGAGAGAGCAAGAGCATGAGCAGGGGAAGGGCAGAGAGAGAGCGAGAATCCCAAGCAGGCTCTGTAGGGTTAGCGGAGAGCCAGATGTGATCTCACTAACCGGGAGATCATGACCTGAGTGGAAAACAAGAGTCGACGCCCCACCGACCAGACACCCAGGCGCCCCAAAGGTTACGGCTATTGATGTGAGAATGAGTTGGATCGTGCTGGCAAGAACCTGGCAGAGTAGCTGGTGTGAAGTACGGGCTCCAAAAGGCCAGCCGTTATCACCATTGTCATTCATGTTGATTTTAGAGATAGTAAAATTTTCAAATGAAATCCACAAATATCTCCCCAGAAAATGAGAAAGTGATTTTTTTCAGGTATATACAAAAATCCCAGGGACCCTCGGAGGAGGAGGAGATAGCAATAGCCAGCCCTCAGGTGACTCTTACAGGCCTTCCTCAAAGTCTGCTCCCCCACCTGCCACAGAGCTCATCATCAGCCTGCGGACGTAGGAGTGCCACGTGCCAGACCCCCATGCCACAGCCTTCTCTGTTTCTGAGCCGCCAACTGAGACGAAGCCGAGACAGGAGGGAAAATGGGAGGGAGGCTGGAGAAGATCAAGTCCAGTGTCGACACGTCTCCTTGTCTGGAAGCGGGTTTTCATCAGGTACGCTTGTTGGGTCCTCGGCTTACGTTCTCCGTCACCAAACCCGCTGCCCTGAATCCAACATGCGATGACCACCTGCCGCAGTTTTGCTAATGCATCCCCCCTGAAACATGACAACCTTTGAGGCCGTCGTTCTCGGCCACGGACAGTTCTGCCCTCTCTGCCCCCTAGGGGACACCGGGCCACGTCTGGAAAGATTTTTCTGCTGGCACAACTTGGAGATGCTACTGGCTTCTAGGGGGTAAAGGCCAGAGCTGGTGCTAGACAGCATGCAATGCACAGGCCGGTCCCCCACAGCAAAGAATTCTGGGGCTCCCCTCTCTCCACCGTGTCCCCACGACTCCCACCCTCTCCCTTCCTCCATGCCGAGGGAGGACATAGCTCCCTTCCCGGCACCCCTCGCCGAAAGCTCAGCTTTAATATCCGGGATTACCGGTGTCAAAGTTAAGAAACCTCACTTGACTTTAACTCCCTAAGGGTATCAAGTTGGCAGTTTGCCAGACGCCACGGATTTAAGAGCCGTACCTTGAATGACTAGTTTTTATTTGCTGGACGCGTTGATGCACAATTCTGTAAGCGACAATTGCTTTCAGGGTGTCATTGTTTATTCCCTGATGCTATATGAAAGCGCCGCAGCTTACGACACTCCTGTTGGGCATCACCGTTTCATTCATTCACTCCTTCATTCATTCACTCATCCACTCAATCAACACACACTCTTTGGGCTCCCTCCTTACACGGTGATGGCTCTGGGGATACAGGGCGAATAGGACGAAATCTCAAGGTGTGTGTATTGGGGAGGAGAAGGACAGACGTGCTAGTAAATAATGACAATAGCACTCGGGGTCAAAGCCCTCATGAGGTACACGGGGCGTTGGAGAGCAAAGTGGGGCGTGGCCTCCATTTCCTACGGAGATCTCAGAAAACTGCCCCCCTTCAACCATCAGCACTTTCTGGTTTCCGTTTGCGAGGGGTCCCCCTGACACCTCTCTGTACGGCGCAGCAGGGACTGGGGGGGTAGTGGCATCAACAATTTGGCCTAATAATGGCCCATTAGAAAGATGCCTCTGATCCCCCTCAAGGGGGAGGGGCAAATGGATTAAAAAATTGTTTGAATGCCCTTAAATGTCTAAATCAAACGTCTGACCACTCAGAGCCAAAGAAACAGAAGGTAAGCAGGGTTTCAAAGCCTGGGAAATACTCCAACCAAAGTAGGTCAGCTCCATTCTTATGTATTAAAGGAGTTCTTATTTATTAAAGAAGTATGAGACCTCAGGTCTGGATAAGCCCATAAAATACCCAGAGGAGCAAGATTTACACACAGGAAACCATTTTATAATAATACAAGGCGGTACATGAGTGCATGAAAATAGCATGTGGAGACCGAGGACGTACGGGAGAGTGCCCTGGGTGAGTGAGAATCAAGAGACCTGGGTTCTAGCCCCAGCCCCACCACTAACTTGCTGCTTTGGGGCTGGTCTCTTTTCTCTGTGGGTCTCAGTTTGGTCATCTGTAAAATAAGGGAATTGGACCAGAGCATAACGAAGCAGCCTCCTGAGGCACAATGAAGTCTCTCATTTCCCCCACTGCTTATTCCTGACGTACCCTGAGGGTCCCTTTGAGATTTAAAGGTTAAACCTCAGTCCTGAAGCCCAGACACCAGTTGATTTCCTCTGACAACCTCAGGGTTACTGCAAACACTTAAGAGGGAGGTGGGGAAGGTCATAAGGAGGAAGCTATTGCCTCTCCCACCCCTGGGCACTTTATAACAACACACCTAGAGGCTTTGAATGGTTCCCAACGTCCCAGGTGACAGTTCCCCCGAAGTAGGAATTCGGATTAACGGATTAACGCACGGGCACTGTCGTTCTAGCATATTCCAATACCAGCCACTGATGAGAAGCGGCCCCAGGGTTCCAGGGGAGCTGGGAACGAGTCCGAAATTCCACCCTTCCAAACTTACTGCTGCTGGAATGTCACAGAGCTGCCAGAAAGATGGGCACCTCCTGAGTGTCGACACTCCCATCAGCTCTGGAAGTGAGGGGTTTTCTTACAACCGAACAGGAAGGCAAGGTCACTGGACACCAGAAAGGACTTGCCCAGGACAGAGATTGGAGACTCAGAACTGGGCCCCGGAGCACTTTCTCTAGGGGGTTTCTTGGGACTTGGCCTTTAGGGGAGGAAGACGATGGTTCTGGAATCGGCACTCCCTCCCCACTCCTTCCACGCAGCCTGAGTACAGCCTCTGTCTGGTTCACAAGTCCCAGCGGGAGAGACCCCGGATTCCCAGGCGTTTCTGTGGGAAGGGAAAACAAGCCACCCACTCTGCCTTTCTCTTTTCTTTTCCAGCTCCTACCTGGACCCGGTTTGCCAAGCCGGCTGCTCCCAGGAGGAGCAGACTTTAGGGAGCCAAATCCCACAGGAGAGGGAGGGAGCTGCAAATGCTCCCACCGCGGCGCCGGAAGCTCCAGCCAGAGTTTTCTGAGTTTTTCCCCCTTCTGCAGTCCGGTGTGTGCGTGAGTGTGCGTGTGCGTGTGTGTGAAAATGTCAAGGCTTCGGGGCAGACGGATGTGGGTTCCGATCGCCTTTTCCTGGGGCAAGATTTTTGGCCTCTGAGAGGCTCGGTTTCCTGGTCCATAAAGCGAGGGTGACACTATCAGCCCAGGAAGCCGACTACAAGCTTCAGTGAACTCTCGAGGCGGAGGGCCCAGCACACATTAGGCGCTGCCAGGGGGCGCCTCCAGCGTCTGCGTAGAAGCGCAGCCTGGAGGAAGGGGGAGCCTGGGGGGCCACAGGGGGTTATCTTACAGCTGCCTTCGCCCGACTCACTTGCTGCTTTTCTTCTGGGAGAGGAGGCTATCTGGAGAGGAGCTGATAGAGCTGATCCTTGCTGGGGACGGGTGTTAGAGTTCCCGCTCCTTCGAGGAAGATGTGGGGACCCCCCCCTCCACGCCCGCCTCGCAGGGGACCCGCGGAGACGCACGGTACTCACGGTGTGCGCAGCGCAGGCGAGCAGCAGCAGCGACGGCGACAGCAGCGGGCGGGGACGCATGGTGCCCCGCGCTGTCCCCGCGGGCGCCTCGACGGCGGCCGGCCGGTGCGCAACCCCGGCCCGGGGTGGGGCTCAGCGGCCTCCGCAGGGTCCCGAGCCCCGGCCGACAGCCGCGGCCGGAGGAGCCATGGCAGGGCCACCCACGCCGCGGCGAGCCCCGGGACTGCTGCTCCTCGGAAGAGGTGGCAGTGCGCTAAGCCGCCCAGCCCATTGATAAGGACGCCGCGCCGCCCGCGCGCGCTCCTCCACCCAGCCCCGACTGGCAGGGAGCCGGCGCGCGGGCCTGCAGGGGTGGGGGCAGAGGGAGGGCGCGCGGGGCCTGCAGCCGGCTCCCGCAGGCTCAGCCCGGGGGCGGAGGAGGCTGGCAGAGAGCACGCCGGCTCGGCCTTCGACGCTGCAACCCACCCCTCCCCCAGCACTCTCGAAGTTCTGGGGCGGCCCCGCGGCCACCTCGCTGTCACCGTGTTGAGTCTCGCGGCTAATGAGACCCACCTTCGGGGAGCGGGGGGGGGGGGGCTGGGGGAGAGAAGGTTGTGCCAGGGCTCTGCGGACACAGCACAGCGGGGGCTCCGTAGATGCCTTTTGCATGTGTTGGGTGGGACAGCTACTTGGCACTTTATTTCTGCTTTTCACTGAGGGGTTCTTCATTATTAAAGAGGCACACGCTCATCCTAGGAAATTTCATGCCCATGGGCGCCATCCCACAGGGAAGTTGGGTGATGAGGTGAGACCCGGGGGGGGGGGGGGGCGTGGTACACCCAGGCATTCCGGGAGCTGTGCTGAACATGGACAGCCTGGTGGCATTCTGGTGTCCCCGAGAAACTATGTAAGCACCGGGCAGGTATTCCCAGTAGCCTGCTCAACTTGAGTCTGAGTGCCCAGGCGACCTGCAGGCTGGCTTTTAGCCTCTCAGCACCAGGCACCCTTACATAACTCTCCAAGATTCAAGTTTTTCTTTCTCTGCTCTGGTGACCCCTCCTTTCCTCTTGGTTCTCCTATCTTAACCTTTCTTCCAGCACTTTAAGCACACATCAGCTCCTTGATTCCCCCTAAATAGCTTAGCAGTATTATGCCCATTTGACAGAGAAAGGCATTGAGGACACAGGAGACTCAATGCTGCTGCCGGGTACATGCGACCAAGAAGTTCAGATAGGACAGCCTGGGTCTACACTTCCATAGCTAACCCTAATTTTCCGTGACTGACCTCTGGTCAGATTGCTAACCTGCTTTTTTTTTTTAAATGTTTATTTATTTTTTGAGAAAGAAAGAGAGAGAGAGAGAGGGAGACACAGAATCTGAAGCAGGCTCCAGGCTCCAAGCTGTCAGCACAGACTCCAACGTGGGGCTCGATCCCACCAACTGTGAGATATGACCTGAGCCGAAGCCCAATGCTTAACCGACTGAGCCACCCAGGTGCCCCGCTAACCTGCTCTTAAAACAACATATTCTAGCCCTTAGCAGCCTTCCCTACCTGAAAAAGCTATTGATAAAGGTAAGGTCAGAAAAATTACAGCAGAAATAAAAGAGAAAAAAAAGTCTTCACCTCTCAGGTCCACACTCAATGCTCTGTATATATCAGCCCAAAATATACATGAACAGGAACTCATTTTTAAGAACTTTGGCCACAGAAATGCTCTCCCAAAGACTCAGTGAAATGCGTGCAAGGATGATTGTGGAAGCACTATCACAGGACCAGAGGACAGGACATGATGTATGTGGAAGGGGAACACTTAGCCCCACCTTGATATTTCCTTCCTTCAGGAGTGCAGCCATGAGTATAATCCTCCTGACTTTTCTCAACCTCCACAATAAAGCCCTCCCCTAACATACACACACACACACACACACACACACACACACACACACACGCACCAGTGGGGAGAGTTCTGTGTGATTCATGCATTCGGGATAAGGATTGCATGAGGTTCTGCCCCCTCCCTCTCCCCTTCCTTTGACAGCACCCCTGCCAGCAGAGAGCCTGTAACTGGATTGCCCCAGCCAGGCTGTCACTGCAGGTCAACTCTGTCCCTGTGATCCAGTACCATCAGGGCCAGGGTGGCGGCCTATGTAATTCTGCCATTCAGAGCTGGAAAACCTGCTTGCCCATAAGTACAAACCACATTTGCCCAGATCAACTTTATTACCCATGAAAGTGACATTTGGCCTCAACTGTCTTCCATTTTTTAAAAAAACATCTATTTATTTTGAGAGAGAGAAAGCACAAGCTGGGGAGAGGAGCAGAAAGACAGGGAGAACCCCAAGCAGGCTCCACACTGTCAGTGCAGAGTCTGACGCAGGACTCCAACTCACAAACCTGCAAGATCATGACCTGAGCTGAAATCAAGAGTCTGACGCTAAACTACCTGAGCCACCTCTGTCTTCACCTTCATTCTTAAATGGTTCAAGATTCAGGCTGGAAAGAAGGTTGCTTCCTGGGCCCCTGAAACCCCAACACTCTAAATGTGCATCAGAAAGTGCCATAAGGACTTGCCGTTCTTACCGATTAGACTTTCATGTTGCCTGAAGATTTTCTGTACCCACTGTATGTATGCTTTTTTGATGGAAAAAAAAAGTCAAGAAAACAGTACACAAAAATGTAATCTGTGCTCTATACCAGAGCCTCATGATTGCCAGTAACAAAGCAAAACAACATTTGTCCCAGGCAATTTAATAAATTCTGCCCCGCAGCAAGCTATTCTTCCTGAAATGGGAGGCTGCGTGTCTCTGAGCGTTGAGAAAAGAGTCTAAAGTGCTTGGTGAGATGCCCATTTACAAGCCACAGATATAGTTAGTGGCTTTGCAAAGCCTGTCTGAGAAAACAACTCTGTAACTGGAGTGGAGGGAAGAGGAGGCGAAAGAACAATGTACTTAGTACCTGTCGTGTGCGAGAGAACCTTTTAGGAATCTGGGATGTGTCCTGTAGCCAATCCTCTGCCATTAGATGACGGATATTCACTTTCCTTGATTGAAAGGATGACGGCTTGAGGCTTAGGGAAGGTAAGCACTCACCTCCAATAACACAGCTAACAAGGGACAGGGGGGCAAGGTTTAACCCCAGGACTGAGCGCAAAGCCTCTGCCCTTTGCCCTTTGCCCTGGACTAGGGTTCCTCTCAATCATGAAGATGACTTCCTGGGGCACCTGGGTGGCTGTTGAGCAGTTGAGTGTCAGACACAGTTTGTGAGTTCCAATCCCACGTGGGGATTCGCTGCTGTCAAGCCTGTCAGTCCAGAGCCTGCTTCGGACCCTCTGTCCCCTCTGTCTGCCCCTCTTCCCTTGCGCTCTCCTCCAAATAAATAAATATTTTTAAAAAGATGACTTCCTTACCGTGCTTTTGCGTGTACCATCTCATCTGACCCTCAAAACCCCATGAGGTGGGCAGGCCCAGCCGCCACTGTCTGGCAAGAGAGGGAGAACATTTTGTTCAAATGGTTTCACTGAAGAGAATTTAACGAAAGGACCATTAAAGGAACAGAAGTGCGGGCAAGCTTAAGGGAACCAAGAAGCGATAGCGAGGTGCCAGGGACCAGCAACAGTGGGCCAAAAGGTTGGCAATGACTCTCTCGCTCCTTGATAAAGCTTGAGCTCAGCTCTTCAGAGCCCTTTTCTCGACTAGAACTTGACCTTGGCGCCCTCTGGCTCTGGCTCTGCCCAGCCCACACTCAGCAAGAGTCTGGCCATCCTCAGCTTAGTGAGAATCCCTGCAACGCTTACTGGCTGACCAAACTTGATATCTTATCAAGTTCCTCATCCTGGCCCACCTTGGTGTCTCAATCTTGGCGTGCTTTCAGGAAGAATCCTGTGAAATCCTGTTGGCGACAATCCACCACTCTGGGGGTCTCCTCTTAGTGATCTTCCATCCCTTGCCCCATCACCCTGCTCTTGGCCATAAATCCCCACTTGTTCTTGTTATGTTTCAAGCTGGGCGTGGTCTCTCTCCCTTCTTGCAATACCACTATTGTGAGTCTTGAATGAAGTCTTCCTTACCATTGTAACAGCTGTCAGAGTAATGTTTTCTTTAACAAGCAGCAAGGACAGAAAGCAGTGGCCCAGGGGCTGACAAGAGCTTAGACTCACCCACAGGGGCCTAACCATAGAATAATGCAGCCACTGGCAAAACTGTGGCCCTGGCAAAGGGGTCAGATAAATGCCCTGACCTCTCTTCCCCCGCCCCCTGGTCCCCTGGAGATGTTTTCCATTGGCTGAACATGATCCAATGCCCGAGACAAGGCAGACAATCAAGAGAGAGAAACTATCCATATAGTCTACCTACTGGATGGGAAAAGTAGGAAATGGGTTTGGGAGGGATGAGGCAAGGGAAAATGACCCTGATGAGGCAGCAAAGGCTAGCTGAGGGTAACACACAAGGTAACCCCCAACCCCCACCAATCCCTCCAGATGGGATTCGTGTGGCATTCCTCAGGTGCTCTGGGCTGCCCGAGAACAAAGAAAAGTGAAAAATAAGTGGTTAACTGATTAGAGATCACATGCTTGCGGGGACTCAAGTCTCCATCAGTTTGCAACTGTCTTGATAATTCACAAGAAAATAAGGCAATCTCCAGAAACAGATAGAACTCAATTTCCTGGGGCCTTAACATCACCCTCCCCTCCGTAGGATAGAAAATCTTATATAACCAGTCACTCCTCATAACCCAAGTGCAGCTCTTTCTGCCCACAGGTCCCATCCCCGTGCTTCACTTTAATAAAACCACCTTTTTGGACCAAAGATGTCTCAAGAATTCTTTCTTAGCCATCAGCTCCAAACCCCAGCCCTTCAAACCGCGTCAACCCCACTTGGAAATATCATTATACCCATTTAACAGATGAAGAAACTGAGATATGATGAGACTGTGGCTCAAAATCACACAGTCGGGAGGTAGGCTTGCTGGTACTGAAACTCTGGATTTTTTTTTCTTCACACAGAGTGGTCTCAGCGACAGGCAGCTTCAGGTAGTGGTTCAGGACCCTAAGGGTGTCCATCCCGAGCAAGAGCAGGCGGAA